CGGCCTTGCTGTTTGTCCTGGCCGCATTTCCAGGGACCACTCAAGAGCCCTGCTGGGGAGCTGGCTCCCCCTCCCTCCGGCCCTTCATTCTCCGGGGACGAGGGGACCAGAGGAGGGGGGCCGGGAGTGGGGGAGGAAGGCAGGACGGTGCTGCCCCCGTCCCTGAGGTGACGGAGTGGAGGGGGCAGGAGGGGCAGGGAGTTTTGGGGGTCACCGGAGGGACAGGAAGGCGGCGGCCGGGAGGGTGGACGGACAGGAGAGGCTGTCGACACATCCTCCTGGCCGTTGACTGCAGCCCGCGGAGACCGCGCAGGCTGTCGCACGGCACAGGGGCTAGTGAGCGGCCCTCGCTACCTTAGCGACAGGAAGGCACACAGGTGAGGCGTGTAAGACGGGCCTCCTCGCACCTGCCTGGCTCCCAGGACATTGTGACCACAGTTCTTCACCCCAGACCAGCTAACGGTTTCCCTGTGCACGTCGTGCCCAGGTGCGCCCGGTGCGAGGAGTACCACCTGTGCCAGGCCTGCTTCAACAGCCGCTGCCACGGCGCCCACGCCTTCACCTTCCGGGAGGTGAGTGGCCCCCTCCCCGCCCGCCCCCACCGTCCCACAGATGGCGCTCCGGGGCGGAGCGGGATGAGCCTAAATGGACGCCAGAGACCTCAGGCTTTGGGGGACTCTCCCACGGGATGTGCGAGGCGGTCCACATGCACATTCGCCATCTGTAATGTCCACACGACAGCCACACGGCCGCCTGGCGCATCCGCCTGACCGTGCGTTTTTAACGGCCCTGACTTCGCAGCCCGAGTTCTCACAGTACGTTCCTGATTCACAAACAAAAGCGTGACTTGCCAAGGAACATGCATGTTTTCTCTATTACAGAAGAGAAATCAGAGATGGAAATCGCTAGAAAAAAGACCAGGTGGAGCTGAGAAACACACAGATGTTAAAAACGTCGTGGAAGAACAGGCACCGCAGCATCCAGAAACGCCAGGGTGAGCCCCTCCGTGGGACGGACTGCGGGCAGGACGTGGGACGGTGGCAGGACGTGGGACAGCAGGCAGGACGTGGGGTGCTTATAGGATGTCTGTGTTTGACACGTTTCGCTCAGTCCTTCACCTGATAAACACACATCGAGTCCTCACTGCAGGCCAGGGGACGTGTGTAGCCGGTGGGAGCGCGGCCTGGCGGGCGGCTCAGACCCAGGCCCCGGGCAGCCAGGCCGGGCAGTGACACCTCCTCTCCCTGCCGGGGTTTCTCCCGCTCGGCACCAGGCGATTCTAAAGCCAGCCGCGCGGGAACTGCCGAGTCCGAAGGGAGTTAACACACAGCAAATGCTCCAGTCACTCGTCTGTAACTACTATTAGTTCTAGCAGAAGTGGGACTAGGTCCTGGGGAAATGGTACATTAATTAAATGATCATCTTAATGAATGTAGAATTAGGACTGACACATTAGGTATGCACCCCCACGTGCATGGCAGCACCGTTTGTAATAGCCAGCATGTGGAAACAGCCCCGTGCCCACCCGCAGGGAGTGGGCCAGAAAGCTGGGGAGCATCGACTCCAGGGAACACGGTGCAGCAGTGAAAAGAGGGATCTCTCGCCCTGTGAGGCAGCAGGGAGGGCTGGAGAGCATCGCGCTGAGTGAAATAAGCCAGGCAGAGGCGGACCGGTATCCCATGACCTCCCTCATTTGTGGCATCTAATGAACCAAATAAACTGATGAAGAAAATACACAAAAACATGGAGCAGACTGAGGAATCCCAGAGGGCAGGTGGGGAGGGTGGGAGAGATCGGCCAAAGACCTTGTGTGCGTGTTTGCACAGCCCACAGACACAGACAATGGGGAGGGGAGGCTGAGGGGTGGGAGGGGGCTAGAGGAGTCCATGGGGAAAAGGGGGCACATGTAATGCTTCAACAATAAAGTTTAAGATAAACAAATCTGAAAGTGGTTTGAAGAAGAAGAAGAAGAAGAAGAAGAAGAAGAAGAAGAAGAAGAAGAAGAAGAAGAAGAAGAAGAAGGAGAAGAAGAAGAAGAAGAAAAAACCATCACAGGGAATTTGAGATCTGCTTTGACGTGATTGGCCCCGCAGGAAGGAGGTCTCTCCCTCCCGCCCACCCCCTCCCCACCCCGCCCCCGGGCAGGGAGAGGGATGGGCTGTGATTAGAACACAGACGGCCTGTGCTCCAATGGCCCGGCCTCCAGACCCTGTGCCGTCCACACTCCTCATCTATCACAGAAACCAAAGCTGCTGTTTTCCACTAACCTACCAGCTACATGGTAAATACATACAAAAGATCGCTTTTAAAGGGTGGCATAAAATTGAATACTTTTTAAAAATAATGTCAGTGAATTAAGCAAACAGAACATCCATATACACCAGAGGCCCGGTGCACAGACTTTGTGCAAGAGAAGGCTTCCTTCCTTCCGGCCCCCGGCCCTGGCACCGGCTTCCCTCTGGCGCCGGGACCCGGGCTTCCTCGCACCCACCTTCATCAGGCAGGTGGTCTGGAAGGACGTCTGATCTGGTAGCGTATTACGCTCCTGTCATTATAGATGTGCTAACCCAGGGGACATCCACCCAGGCCTGAGGGCTCTCCCTGCGTGAGGGTGCGACATGAGCCTGCAGAGGGCCTGGCTGGTGTCACACCTCCCGAGGGGAGAGGACTGTACAGCGAAGGGCACAGGGGTCCGTGGGAGTCATTGAGCATCGAGGAGAAGGACAGTGTGGACAGAGGTGCCCCATGAGGAAGGAGACACGGAGCTGATGGAAACAGCAGGGGCCTCTTCCCTGGGACCGGCGGCTGGCAAGGGCGGTCTCCATGGCCGCGGAGAGCGTCTGCAGAGGAGCAGGAGGCGCGGCTGTTGCCATGGAGACGCTGCAAGTGCGCTCCCCAGGGCTGTCCCAGGGCTTCTGGACGCAGGGAGGCCTGCGCCTCAGCGCGGTTGGTTGTAGCTCTGGATGCACAACAGGCGAGGCCCTTTCCCAGCCACAGCCTCGCCGGCTACCAATGCCGAGAACAGCGCGCCCGGAAGGCAGGGCCTCGCCGGCACCCTGTGCCCTGGGGCTCAGCACGCGGGACCTCTAACATGGCCCCGAGCCCCTACTGCCCAAGACGGACAGTCAGCTGAGCTGTATTTCTCTTACAAAACAAACAAAAAAGCCTAAGCGTTGGCTCTGACCGAAACAATTTGTATGATTCTCATCAAAATTCTGCTGTGGTTTGCAGGTCAGTATTTTAAATTGAAATGACTAAATTTCATTCTTTTTTTTTTAAATGTGTTTTTATTTATTCCTTTTAGAGAGAGAGAGAGGCAGGGGGATGTAGAGAGACAGACACATCCACGATGAGAGAGACTCATGACCAGCTGCCTCCCACACACCACCCAGTGGGAACGGAACCCTGACCTCCCGGTTCCTAGGTGGACGCCAAACCGGCCGGGCCTAACCCTTGTTCTCAGGGAAGCGGATGTGAAAGCCGGCTCCTCCCTGCTAAGGACGGAGACACTAGGCTTTGCTGAGCTGTGTGCCTCTGCGACTTCTCTCTCCCGTCCAGGGAAGCGGGTGCTGGTGGGCGTTCCTGCCGCGGGGGTGGCCCCTGGGCTGTGGTGCTCCCGATGGGGAGCCACGGCCAGCCCTCACGTCCCCTCCTCCCCCAGCCCGGCGCTCACGCCAAAGCACGTGGTGCGGTCGCTGCCTCTGCTGATGGTCACCAAGAACAGCAAGCTGCTGGCCCCCGGCCTGCAGTGCCGCCTCTGCCTGCGGCCCTTCTGCCTCGGCCAGTACGCCCGGCTGCTCCCCTGCGCCCACAAGGTGGGTCCCAGCCCCTCCCGCTCCCTCTGCGGCCGCTTCCCCAAACGAAGGGACCTCAAAACTTCTCTCCTCCTCCCTGGAGTCCGACGACGACGTGCAGGTGTCAAACCGAACGTGTCTGTGGAGGAGCAGAGACCACGGAAACGGAGCTGTGCCCCTCAGCGTGGGTTCCTCTTGGCTAGGGCTTCCTGTGCCGACTGTCCAGGAAAGACTGGCCCTTTAAGGCAGATTCTTGTATCCACTGCAGTTACCTGTCAAAAGGAAAGGCTTACAGAATCCTACATTTTATATGTATACTTTGTTGATGTCAGAGAGGAAGGGAGAGGGAGAGAGAAACATCAATGATGAGAGAGAGTCATTGATCGGCTGCGTCCTGCACGCCCCACCCCTTGGGGGTTGAGCCCACAACCTGGGCTTGTGCCCTCGACTGGGAATCAAACCGTGACCTCCTGGTTCCTGGGTAGATGCTCAACCACGGAGCCACGCCTGGCCGGGCCAGGATACTAACGTTTTACTGTGTTTTATGATTCTCTGGATGAAGCAGCATACATAATAAGATCATTCTACCCCCAGTTAACGCATAACCTTTTCCTGAAGTTTCACAGGAAATGCATCGACAGCTGGCTGCTCCACAAGTCCAACACGTGCCCCGTGGACGCACAAGTCATATACAGCCCTCTGCTCTGGAAGGACACGGCCGCGAGTGGGCGCGGCCAGCACCCCGCTCCTGGCACAGGGGCCGCCCGCTCGCCGAAGCAGGAGGACCCGGCGCTCTTCATCCCCGGCACCGGGTTAGCGTTGCCACAGAGCAGAGCCGGGGGGCTGCCCGCCATCCACCAGCGCAACTCCGAGAAGCGGAAGACGCCCCCGCACTGCACGGGCGCCCACGGGGAAGTGACCTCCGGCGACCCGCGCTCGCTCAGCGCAGACGACGCAGATCCGAGGAAACTGATCTACGAGCGTAAAATCAGGCAGCACTTCCCCCGGTTCTTTCAGGATCTGCCCACGGGACCCTTTGGGAGAACGCCGTCTCAAACCTTCCTTCCTTCCATCACCCGCAAGAACAACGTGCGTCCCCCTGGGACGGGACGCCCCAGGATCGGTGACCCCGGCCAGAGCCAGAAGCCGACCACAGGCTCCAAGCGCATCCACCACCTGAAGAAGGTCCTCGGCGCCCGCATCTGAGAGGAGAACCGGAGACCACAGGCCTCCGGGGGATTCCGGCCTCATTGCCAGCTGGGGTGCAACTGAGCTCCGTTTGTCTACACGGTGTGCTGATTGTTTGGGGAAACTTAGGGAAAATACCATCATCGATCAGAAGGCCTGCCTCTCACCCTTCAAATAAAACAGCCCTGAGCTGTCGTTAACACTGGAAGGAGTTCCATCATGAAAACACCCTTTGGATTAACATCAGGATGTTTTACTATTTGGATATTGAACATGAAATGTTTTTTGGTGTTTTTTTTTTTGTAGAACGTAAAACAATATTATACAGCTTTGACAAATGGGTGTAAAATTTTCGGTTGTCATTTTGCCTACTTGTCCATGAAGAGCTAACTACACACAAAGGAAATTAGTTCCTTCCTTATAAGACTTAACATGTTAGGTGTCTCAATGAGTTATGTTCAGGATGTTATGAATTATGAACATTTTTTAACTTTTATATCTGATTTTACGCTGATTAAAATAATTGTTATTACTTGAAGGAAAGAGATTTTTCTTGTATTTAATCGCTGTTTTCAAATATCCCACTCCATAGCATAGAACGGGATCCTTCCCACATACGTGTGGGATGCTGGTAGAGAAAAACAACCCTGCTGTAACATTTACTTTCCGTTAAAAGAAAGATATAACACAGACACTATTCCTATACTAGTCGAAGTTATCAATGATAACCATCACTGAGTTTTCTTACTCCAGCAGTAAACCATACATGAACTATTCCGCCCATGGCCTGCTGGGGGAACAGAGAATCCGGGCAACTTCCAGCAGGATGTCCGGACGGTCCCGAGAGCAGGAGAGTCCACAGAGCCCCACAGGAGTCACAGGCGTGTGTGACTGTCTTCTCCATGCGAGTGAGGCTTTCTATGCCCTTTCCTCGCTGACACAGAAAGGGTGCCCGCGCTGTGGCCCTGGCTTTACGTCCTGCGCCCGAGGTCATGTCCATCTCCGCTAGCAAGCACGTCCCAGCTGGCACAGCCGCCAGCCGGGATTTCCGCTTTGCTCAGTTTGCGATCGCAGCAGCCCGCTGTCATCTGTCCTAGACCCTCTGGGTATGAGGCGCCCGGAAATGTGACCGGGACCCCTACAGTCTCCTGGGTGGCACTGATTTCCCTACAACCTCCTGGAGGTAGCTCCATTTCCGACTTATTTCTTGGCTGAGTTTGGGGAACCGTTCCAGAAACTTCCATGTGAATATGATCACCCCTAACAACCACAGGCCAGGCACTCGGGTGGGGCTTGTCCTGATTCCGCAGGACCTCATTCGCAATCATGTTTCCAAGGGCTGGGGAAATAATTGCTCGGTTGGTCTGAAGACATAATGGGCCCATCACAAGCCCGAACTTTCTCAAGACTCTTCTTGTCACCTGGCCCTCCCAGGCCCAGTTCCAAGAGAGCCACGTTCTCAGCCTTCTTTATGCCGCAGCCCTTTCACACAGTGCCTCGTGGCGTGGTGACCCCAACCCTAAAACTATTTCCGTTGCTGCTTCATCACTGTGACTTTGCCACTGTTATGAACCATAACGTAAATATCTGTTTTCCGATGGTCTTAGGCGACCCTGCGAAAGGGGTCTCAGCCCACAGGTTGCGAACTGCTGCTGTAGAGCCTGCAAACTGCAGCTCTGGAGCCACAGGTGGCTCTCTGTCCCCTGGAGCGTGGCTCTTCCACAAAACACCACGGCCTGGGCGGGTCTGTTTTGAAGAAGTGGCGTTAGAAGTTTAAGTTTAAAAAATGTGGCTCTCCAAAGAGGTTTCAGTCGCCGTGCTGTGATATTTGGCTCTGTTGTTGACTTACGGGCTGGGTCCTCCCGCCCACCTGCAGCTAAAACCACCCCCTAGGACTCCCCACCTCTGTCCGCCAGCATCAGCTCTCACACCTGACGTTACCCTAATTGCCCACCGTCCCACGACGGAGCCCAAAAACACGGGAACCTTCCAGAGGCCCTGTGATCCAATCACTGGGAATATCCAGACAAAAACGACGGGTTCCCCCCTCCCCCCCACCCAGTCTCCCAGCGACCCCAAGGGTCAGCCATAACCACCAGATGGAAAAACTATGTGAACACAATGCCTGTGAAGGTACATGTTCATAAACATCTACCAACGGAAGAAACTATCAGAAGCTGAATTAGAAATCCAGGTTTCAAAATAGTGTTGTGCCGAGACCAGTTTGGCTCAATGGATAGAGCGTCAGCTTGGGGACTGAAGGGACCCGGGTTCGATTCCAGTCAAGGGCATGTACCTTGGTTACGGGCATATCCCCAGTAGGGGGTGTGCAAGAGGCAGCTGATCGATGACTCTCTCTCATCGATGTTTCTGGCTTTCTATCTCTCTCCCTTCCTCTCTGTACAAAATCAATAAAATATATATTTTTTAAAAAATAGTGTTGTTACAGAATGCCGGATATTGGAGATACATCGATTAAGCTGAACAAATTTAAAAATGCTTCGTTTAAAACAAACCCATGGGGATATACAACACAAATACTATTGGGACATCTACTCCACGATGACGCTTCCTAGCTACCCTTATGCCTGTGAGTAAATAGTGCTTCAGGTGGAGTTTTACCCGGGCCGTTCCGGGGTCATCAGCCCACGACCCCGGAGCGTGCGCACCCCCGGCTGTCTGGAGGCAGACGGTGCAGGTAGCCGCGAGTTCCGATGCGGTCTGCAGGGCGTAGAGCCAGCAGCACATGGACAGGACACGTCCAGTAAACTCCGTGGGGAATGGAGTGGCCCTCAGGACTGGGGGAAGTTGCTGACAGCCACAGCGAGCATAGGTTTGGGAACCAGGAAATACAGGGTCCAACCAGGAAAGGTTTTGTCAGCAAAGGGAAGAAAAAAAATATACTCTTCAACACAGCAACGACTGAAATGTCTTTGGAGAGCCACATTTTTTAAACTTAACTTCTTCTAGCGCCACTTCTTCAACATAGACTCACCCAGGCCGTGGTGTTTTGTGGAAGAGCCACATTCAAGAGGCCAAAGAGCCAAGTTTGCCAACCCCAGCGCTAGAGCGAGCGAAGCAGAGAACCGTGTGACTGCGATGGCTCAGCAGTCACCCAGGTGCGGGCTGTGAGCAGCCGTTACACGTGTCCTTGATGAGAAGGTTTCTCACCGTTTGTAACTCAGTTTATTCGCTTTTGGGGATTTAAAATTGCAATTGCGATTGATTTCAAAACGGTTTTTCTCCAGCAGCGCTCTGAAAATGTATTTGTAACGGGAAACATGCTTTCCGCGTTGGCCATGCAGTGAGAACCGCACGTGAGCCGGCGCCTCCCACAGAGCGGGCCTGGCTCTGCTCACAGCCGAGGCGGCCTGCGGAGCCGGACACAGCAACGCCCGGGCCGTGTGACCGTCCGGCCCCAGCTGCCACCTGACCCCGCGCTGGGGGAGTCACTGCTGATAAACCCATGACACACCCACTCCAGCCAACTCCCCTCCTGAGCTCTTACCCGCGTCCTCTCTGCGCTGCAGGGAGGGAGCATGAGAGCAGCAGGTGCCGTCACGTGAGGAATGGATGTCCCTGACCGCCCGCTCCCTGAGGGCTGGTCCTGCAGGCCTCGCCAGGGGCTGGTCATCCTGTTAAGACTCCGTACTCCCCCCAGCTGGCCGGCGTGGCTCAGGGGTTGAGTGTTGACCTAGGAACCAGGAGGTCTGGGTTCCATTCCCGGTCAGGGCACAGGCCTTTTCGGGCTCCATCACCAGTAGGGGGCGTGCAGGAGGCAGCCCATCCATAGTTCTGTCTCATCATGGATGTTTCTCTCTCTCTCCCTCTCTCCCTTCCCCTCTGAAATCAATAAAATAGATTTTTTTAAAAACCCTGCAGATTCCCCTCCATGGAGGCCAGGGACCCAGATGAAGCACCCACCGCAGTGCCGGGCTGGGAGGTGGTAATGACCTCGGTGTGGCCGAGGGGACTCAGAGCCCAGTTCCCGTCTGAACTGACCAGATAACATGGTGTTCCTAGGCCCGCGTTCATGTTTGCTCCGCAGACGGTCCCAGAGGCGGCAGCCGGGTCAAGGCCCCAGAGACCCCGAAGCCCCCGGTGCAGGGCCTGGACGTGCGTGCGCCCGATGGAGCCAGCACACGGGAGGGGAGCCGCGCTCTGAGTGGGAACAGCCGTGGCTCACCGTCCTCGGCGGACAGCTCAGAGCACGCCCCAAAGGAGGGAAGGGGGCGGGTCCTCCTCTCACCTGGGTGTGTGGGAAACGCGATTTATCTCACGTGCTAGCCCGTTACCCGGAGGAGCCTCCTCCTGGAGGAAAGCCGGTGTGTCCTCCTCCGGCTTCCACAGCGAAGAGGTGAACTTGGGAGGACGTGACGAGCCACGAGAGACCAAGTTCATCCCTAAACCAGGGGCGATCAGGGCAGAACGCCCGTTCTACCGTAGGGCGTACTCGAAATTGAGAATTAATATCTGAGCTCTTTCTGGATCAATGAGAACGCAGAGGGGAATGTTGTGTTGTTTGCCCAAAATAAACAATGCACCGGGCACATTTTCGGATTTATTTTAATCTTTAATGAACTATGTGTAATATTGTACAAATCTCTGGGTTGTTCAGTCTCCAGTGGTAGGAACAATAGCAAAGGCTATAAATACACCGGGATGGGTCTCTCTGACGAAGAACACAAAAGCTAAAAACACTTGGAGTCGGACACTCACACAGCCAGACTCCGCGAAGACAGGAAGTGCATGGCGAGGGTGTGCCCAGCCCCTATGAACTCGGACGGGCCACTGAGCGCCGAGGGGGAGGGTTGAGGGGTACTGGTTGGCCCCCTGGTCCCTAGAACAGGCAGGGGTGTTGACCCCAGAGGACTCAGACCCGGGGAGCCTCGGCCAGAGCGCGGTGGGCTGTACGTTAATGACAAAAGGGGCGGTCCCCACACAGCTGCTCGCACGCCGAACACGGGCTTTCTGAGGCCTCGGGCCCTAACATGCATCCAAACATGCACGTGGCTGTG